ATAAATGAGTATCTGATTCCACGTGAGGGCACGCCTGCAATGACCCGAGATGTCCCCATGCATGCTGCCAACACATCGGTTGGTTATATTCACGTGGGGATGCTTTGGAGCTGCGGCGCAGGGTCAGGTTCTCCATGGCACAGGGCTTTCCAGCGAGGCTCTGGTCTCTCTTCAACACCCTCACCACTTCCTTTGGAGCAGACCAAGCTTAAGCCTAGCCCTGGTACTACAGCAACCAAGCTGAAAGCCAAGGACTATCCCTTATGAATCGCCAGCCAAGATGATCCTGGCTCCCAACGTGATGACAACTGGGCATCCTAGCAGCTGAGCAACCAAGACCCCCAAATCCTGATGCTCCCCGTCTTCCCAGCATCATCCCTCAACTCCCCACTCTGGTTTCAATCCCAAGCCTTTTTCAGTACATGCTCCTCTACCTGCAGTCAAGCCTCAGCTCCATCTCAGCTGCAAACAGCTTTTGCAGAACAGTTTATCTCTCCAATTATTTAACCAGAGGCCTCCTGGCTTCACTCTCACCACCCACGGCAATAACATGTAATTACCAGACTTGAAGAAAAATAAAGGGGAAGTGGCATCTCATGCCAGGCCAGTGCTGCCAAGATCTGTTCTTCCATCTTTCAACTCAAGGAAAAAAAAAAAAAAAAAGAAAAAAAAAAAAAATCACCAAATTCTCTTCCTGCCTCTTGGCACACCATGTCAGGCTACGACTTCTACACACAAGAGGTTTTACCCCAAAATTACCCAAAAAAAAAGACTAACATTTTAGAGTCTCTTGCCTTTCATCTTCTACTACTCAATGGGTGAAAGTCAAAGACAACACTATCAGCAATTTCTGCGAGATGATTTCAGGCCCATCTTCATGTTTGGCATAGACCGATGCCAAATTTGGCATTTCCAAGACATTCAAGAGACAGCTTCTATTCTCCATTTTTATTACAAGCTCAATTCCTTGCCTTTGGAAACAGCTGAAGAAATGAAATGGGGATTTCCTAAAATAAAGAGGTTGTTTAGAAGAAAGTGTTTCCAGCGTGTAGGCTGTTCTTCATCTTCTAAAAGAAAGAAGTTGTACAAGGTTAAAACCCCAGAGTGCTATCAGCCCCGTACCCACATTGTTCAGGCACCACACTGATAATTTCTCTGGAAGTCTTTGGCAAACCACTTTTCCTCTTTGGATTCCCATCTGTGGGGCTAGAAAGTAAGAGCCAGCTGAAGCAGCAAGATGTCCAGCTTCTCCAACCGCAGCTGCACCGTTGATGCTGCTCCACCTTCAAGATGCTGCACAGATGAGACCCGGGGGCTTTGGGGAGAGCCCCCACCATGGGGACAGACATGGAGGTAGGCTGGCTGCTAACTTGGTCATCACAAGCTCTTCCCAGACCTCCAAACTACTTAATCCAGTGAGAATCATCGGCATTTGCTGTCTTGGCTGGAACATGTCCATGTTAAGGACACAGGCCTTGTTTTAACGCCAGCCTCCCAAGCTACTGCTATTTTTAGGTTTGGGCTGTTATTTAAGGTAGGTATTTTGACCAGAGAGAGCACGGGGCAGAGACACAAGCTCACGGGAAGATGAAGACAAGCAAAACACCCCATGACAACAACTGCTGCTCAGGATCGCACATGTATCTCGATGACCTAAGCAATTCAGTTTATCAAGCACCACCAGGAACCAGGCAAGAGTTTGAGCCATTGCTTCCCCCCTAAAATCCTCCTCTTTTGGGAAGAAGCCCAATCACAGCAAGATGTCTTTGCTCCAGCACCGAGCAGGGCCACCCTGACCATGCGTCACCCAGAACTGATGGGCTTAAAGAAATTGGTAGTAAAAAAAAAAAAATTAAAAAAAAATCAATAATAAAATCTTCTAAATGGGCAAAGCCTTGGATGCCAGCTGTGCTCCTGTCCAGCATCACGGGAGGTGCACGGGGTGCCGGTGCAAGGGCAGCCACCCAAGCACAGCTCCTCCGAGCAGAGGCCGCAGCGCCTACGTCAGACCCGGTCTTACCTTCCAAAGGTTAAAGCTGTTTACTGAAAGGATTAGGAGGGAGGAGATGGTAAACTAGGAGGAAGCGGGGGGGGGGACTGTGCGCAACAGCTACGCACACAGGCTTCGCCCTGGCAATAAACACACCCCAACTCCTCGTTGGCATGGCCAGCCAACATATGGGTGGGGACATCCTATGGATGTCAGCACATTGCCAGCACCAGACCCCAGGGCTTTGCCCCCAGCCCCAGAAGACGATTTAAACCTAGTTGCTTGCCCTCCACACCCCTAGTGCAACCACAAGCCAGGCTGGCACCTGAAGACCTGGTGAGCAGCTGTGGTCCTCACATCTGTGGAGGCTTTGCTCTGGCTGCCTACTATGGAGGGATCTGCACGAGCAGCATGGGAGGGGAAAGATTCCCTCTCTGCAACAGCCTGAAGTTTGTTCCTGGCTATATTCATCCTTGTCTGAAACGTTGCTTCAGGATGAAGCATGATTTGGGTACAAGCACTGCTGGCGCAGCAGAAAGCCAAGCCATGACGCTGCAGCTCTGCAGTACCTCTTAGCTCTACCGCTGGTTATTAAATAAAAGGTCAGTTCCTCTACAGCACTACATCTTCTCTCATTTCAAGTGAACAGTCTTAAGAGAGCCAGACGTTTCAATAGGCAAACCAAAGAGGGATTTATACACCACTGCGGAGGAGAACAATTTCCATATCTGACACGACAGAGCACCACCACCAAGTAAGAACTAATGAGCAAGGCCCTTCCAGCTAACGCAACGTGACTGAGGCAGCACCAGAGCTGCACTAAAGGCAAGACAAAGCATTAATTGGTTTGTGCTCGTCTGTCTGCCCTCACTGCACAAAGTTCAGCTGAGGACGTTCCATGGCAGGAGGAAGTCACGAAGCCGCCCATGCCGACACGGAACCAGCGCGACTATTGCAAGAATGACTGGGAGGGATGTGCAAAACCGCCCGGCCAGGAGCCCAAAGCAATTCACTTCCAGACCTGAGCAGCTTGGCCTGTCACTGGGCCAGTTTATCACCTAAGTGTGTTTTTTGCTGTTACATTCGGCTTATTTCCCAAGAGGAAAACTTAGCAATTATCCTGCAAATTTGATGCCCTAGGTGCATTCAGCTGTTAAAGGCTGACACAGAAGACTGGAACAACTCCTCTTGGGAAGCACAGGATGACCCATGAATGATGCTGTCCCCTAAAGGATGACAAGATCTGGGAGGTGGGGTTATACCTAAATGGGCTAACGTAGCCTCATTGCTCACCACGTGTCACCTTCTCTTCCTTGCATGATTTCTTTAACCTGACTCATGCTCGGTGACCGAACGCACAGCACCACCCACAAAGGCGCCTCTAACGTGGCCTCCAAGAGAAGGGCTGGCCGTAGTGCAGGCATTTCAGCACGGGGGCTGAAATGCCAGGTTAGAAACCAGAGCTGCACTCGCTCAGAGCAACTTGGTTTGGTCCCTGCACTCGATCACTCCCCACCCTGTTCAAATTCAGGATCTCCTGCTCCGAGATCACAACACTCGCTGCTCAAAAAAACCAGGAAAAGTGGGAAATTCAACCAACTGGTAGTTAAGGTCATGGGGGGAAACAGTTACTTCAAGCTAGTAACAACCGGCTGCTTTTGGCCAGTGAACCATGGCCAAAGCCATGCAGTATTTCTGGTAGCGCCCACAAATAAGGATGTTTAATAAGGTTCTGCAACCCTGCTGCAGATCATTCACCATCGCCCCAAGGACCACGCTTCGGGTACCACAGATCTTCGGGGCAATGGAGTGCAGGGATTACTGGAAAAAGTTATGGCAAAAGGGGGGGAAAAAAAAAAAGCTCAAGAAGCCGCACCCCAAGAATTCAAAAGTTAAAAGGAAACTGATAAGTAGCACAAACACAAGAGAAGGCAATAAACTAATTCCAACAAGACCTTACTGGTTCTATAAATGCAAACGCAAAGAAATGTTCGGATGATCAATCATCAGGAAGGAAAAGAGAGTACATGACAGAAGACGCCCTGCTCCAAGCCTTCTTTGCTTTGTACTTAAGCATTCAAGGATGACTTTCATCAAGCACTGACCTCTCTTAAACCTTCCAATCTTTTTCCAATCCATTCTTTGTTTGCCCCTCCCACCCCTTGTTAAATGTGCTTTGCTAAAGGTTAACTGGGAACAGCTGTTTAAGGTTGAACAACCCCAACCCAAAGTAAGGACTCATCAGTGCTGTCCACCTGCACAGGATAAAGGGGGTGTGTGTCAAAATTGCCACTGTAGCTTTGCAGAGGAAGAACCATGCATCCTGCCAGGGAGATCATGGCTGCTTGGTGCTCACGTTCATGCCACCATTAATTCATCGCTGATTTTTTACAAATTTCAGTTTAAGGACCACAACAGGTCATCTCTGATGGCTCATCAAAAAGCTGACAGCAAGTCATTCACCAAAAAAGCCATCCCCCAAAAGAACAGAAAACATTATGAAGCAGAGCCTCCAGGAAGACCTCATGACACTCATGGAGCCATACGCCTCCATGACACAACCTTTAAGGACAACCTTCTGGGCTCCAGCATGGGCCAAGGGCTGGGGACACAAGCCAGCAGTTGGGATTTAGGGCTAAGAACACGAAAATAAGGTGCTGCCAAGAGGTGGGTGACTCAGCCTTCCAGGAACAGCCAGGGTAAGGGGAAAAAGGACGACGTGAAAGACAGCCTAGACCCACATGTGAGTGACCAAGGAAATAAGGACAGTGAAAAAAAAAAGAAAAGGTGACATTCCCTCCATTAACTCTTCTTAGGAGCAGGGACACACCATGGGAACAGGGATGGGGAGAAGCCAAGGATGAAGAAACATCCGAGGAACCAGTTTATGGGCTTTGTCCTTGCTCCAAGACCCAGCTAGTCAGAAGAGCAACCAGTGGCTCCTCCAAAGCACCCCATGGGACAGCACAAAGGACGCTACCGCCTACAGCCCCCGATCGCTACTGCTCACCATGTCCATTGCAGTAATAGATCCACTTCTCCCTGTTCTGCGTAGGGGTGGTGGACTTTTTCATAATAGCTTTTTCCACAATGGCACTGGGATCTTGCCTGGGTCCCTTCTTCAGAGTCCGTGAGCTCTTCCTGACACTGCAGACAACGATAACCACCAGGACCAGCAGGAGGAAGAGGACGATCATCCACGGCAAGTGTTCGTTGATGTCAAAGTGCTGGTGGACGTTCTGTGGACCTCGCCGGGGGGGCCTGTATGGGACGCTGGACTTCTCGCTCCCTGACATCTCCAGTGACGGCTGCTTCTCCAGCGCTTGGCTGCTCTGCTTGTGCCGGTAGCTCTGTGCCTCACCAGCAGCACTGGAGCCCACGAAGGTCCCACCGGCACCGTCCGTCTCGTTGGCTGAGGTTTCGTTGTAGTAGCCAGCTGGCTTCGCCGTGCCACTGGATGTGCGTGGCACGGGAGAGGGAACAAAATCGGGAACTGAAGAGTTCAAACCTGCGAAAGGAAAGGAGAGTTCAGTGCCACAGCACCAGAGACACGATACGGCATCATGTCACAGTCTGAGCATCTGCTTGGCCAGCAGACAGAAACCCAACGCCAGGCAGCGAGAAAGGGAAGAGGTGAAGTTGAGGTTTGGCTCTGGGAACAGATGGGTACAGTTACAGAGGTAGGTTCAAGATAAAATTGACCCTTGTTGGTTAAGGTTAGTGGCAGTTTGTTTGAAAAAACCCAAGTGATTAAAGGCAGGTAGTCAATCTATGGTTGTCCCACATTCACTACTTCTCAGAAAACCTACAACTTTGACGTTTCTTAGGCTTACGAACACGTGTTTCATTCCAAATGTGGAAGATGTGGTATCTGGGCTAGAAACATGAAAATTTGGAGGCTTAGTATCTTTCTACCAGGTTTTGTTAAGGAAGCACAAACTTTTTTTATCAGCACTGCAAGCAGCCGCGGATGCATCAACTACAAAACAGATTTCTGAAACAACAGAAGCAATCCAACCTTTCCCTAAGAGCTACTTTCCACCTTTATTGAGTTTTCTTATCAACCAACAGCTCTTGGGTCCCTGCCAGCTGCATGACCAAAGCCCAGTGAGAAGAGGAAGGGCTTTCGTGGCAAAAACTAGAGCTTACTTTGGAAACTCTGCTTTTGAAGATCATGTCTCATCCCAGTTGAGCCACAGAGTGGGTGTAACCACCTATAACCCGACTTTTGCCACTGACTTGGTTACCCAAAATATTCTGACCAGGATACCAACAGGTAAAATGCTTTTCTTTTTACCTAATCGCCTACAGTTGATTTCAAAGTTCAGGGAACACCCTCCCGTCCTCTCCCAATGACACACCAACTTCATATCAAGCTTTGAGACCTAACAAAGGAGAAGCACCAGGAGTCTATCACTGTCAATGCTTCCATGATATTGCATTTACCAACTCAAGCTTTCAGGCCATCAAAAGTTGCATTTTTTAAATCAAAATGCCCCATCTGAGACAGTGTAAGGAGGCTACTTCCCAGAGAGTGTCAAGAACCACCTCAGATGGGGTCCTAAAGCACCACTGCAACCAGCCACGGCTAAAGCATCTCCCTAAAGACTGCAATGATACATCATTTTCAGTTAAATGAGAGAATGGGGAATTCAGCTTGCTTCTCCCCACCGGTGGTAACTAACAGAAATTTTAGAGGTTAAAGAAAAGAAAATTGACGGCACAGCCTAGGCTCCCAGGGGGCTGTTTTGGCAATGGATCCTGTTCAAGCCAATACACCGGGATCAGTACAGGGCAAAACGCAGCAGGGAAAGCACAGACACGAAAGTAGTGAACCCATCAGGGAAGCAGTCTGGTGGAGAAAAGCTCCTCTCCTGCCAGGCTTTTCCTGCCGCACTCTGCTCAGGTTTGCCACAAATGCACAAGGACTTGTGCCAGCACGACACACGGACGGGAACAGGGGCTGGGGAATGTGACGTCCTTTCAATCCAAACAGGAGGACAGCCAGGAGCCCAATCACAACTGCAGTCTCAGTGAAAAATGTTATTAAACATGGTTTAACACAACTGAGGGCAACCTGATGCACTCCAGAGCTGCCTTCTGGCCACGAAGCAAAAGTACCATCCACGCTTTAGATCAGGCTGCCCTGTAACAGCCTAAAGCCAGCCTTGACCGCGGCCGGAAAGCAAGCTCATGACCAAAACCACACCTGTGTTTCAGTGGTGGACATTACCTTTGGGAAGAGGAGCGGTTGGTGGAACTTCGTAGGGCTCTTCACCCACTTCGGTGCTTGACAAAGTCAAAGACGTGTTCGGAAGAGATGCTGGAGAACCACAGACATTGTCACTCTCCTTCGTCCCTGGTTTGATGACCACCATGTTTTTCCCAAAGCAGTCAGTGTATGTTTTGCACTTCATCACACTAGAAGGCACATCAGAAAAGGTACCACGAGGGCACGGCTTGCACCTAACGTCTTCCGTCTCGGTTCCTTTCTTGCGGACGCCCCAGCCGACCGGGCACACCGTGTAAGGGACGCAGGTATCGTTCGTCTGAAACGTACCAGACAGGCAAGTGCACTCGCGGTCAGTCAAGGCAGTACAATGAGTTTTCTCAATCATTGGCAGTTCACAGGGTTTTCTACAAGGGTGGCACCGCTCTATGCCATTCTCATGCTTAGTAAAGGTCCCATCCGGGCAAGGGCTGCACTCTCTTAAGGTACTCTTCGTACAATGCTTAGACACGTAGGTTCCTGCGGGACATTTGTCGCAGATCAGCTCTTTGTTGGTGGCACGGTCGAAGTGGCGGTACTTTCCAGGGGAGAGGCTGATGGCATTCTGCTCGGAGGTCAGCTTCGACTGACCATCGGCGGTGCCAAGGAGCACGAGCAGCTGGAAGACAGGCGGGAAGCATTAGTCAACAACAGCACATGACCGGAGCCCCCTCTGCCAGCCACCCCTTGCAGGGTCACAAAGCACATCCGAGAGCCAGGGGACCACAGAGATGTTTCTACAAGCAAGGGAAGGAGCTCAGCGGGGTTGGGGTGGAACGGAATCGGTGCAGACGGCAGCACGCTCTCCGGACACATCGCCAGCTACGATTATAATTCCTTAAATTGGACACCACGCTTCTCTGTCAGACTAAGCATCATTTACACTGCAACCCTGCCAGGGCGGTAAATACTGCTAATTGTGTTTCAGCAGTACGTGCTACCTGGCCACCCCGGGAAGAGTCCGACCCGCTTTGCATTTCAAGGCTGAGAGCACGAGCCAGGAGCTTGACGAGAAGACAAAAAAAAAAAAAAAAAAAAAAAAATACACACGCAGGTGGCAGCTCTGACCTGTAAAACTTTCCTCCTCGGTATTTATTAATCTGCACTTGTTCTAATAGTTACCTTCCTAAATAATGCAAACTGGGATGAAATCCAGGCTGGCCAGCGTTACCGGACTGTTTCTCAGCCCCTCTGCCCTTCCATGATTTTTTATAGCCCTGCACAAACATAGGGTTTGGTGAGACCGCAGGGGATATTCTGCTTCGAGCCTCCAACCACATCTGAACACACTTTAAACCAGCTGCATTAGCAACAGGAGAGAAAACCTGATGCTATTTTTAAGCTCTCTGAGGAGCTCTGCTGTAACTCAGTTCCTCATTGCATCAGACACAGGTAAAAGGTCTCCAGTTTTTAGACGCCGACCTGCCCCCAAGCTGGGCTTGCCTAGGTGATGGCTACAAATCTGTTTACCTGTTTCTAATCCCAAGGCTTCATTCCCTTAATTCCTTTTCATCGAGGCTGCTCCATCTCCAAGAGAAGCTCCACCTACCAAGCGGGTCCTCTGCTTCCTCCAGAAGACCTCTGGTCCATGGATTTAATGCCAGTGGAGATAAGACACCGTGACCAAAAGGCGTATCAAAGGAATGGCTGACACAGCCTCATACAACATGCAAAGCAATAGAAAAAAAAAAAACAAAACATTTTCAAACAGCTGCAGGCTGAGGTAGACAGGAGAGGGAGGAACAAGCCAACATTGCCCTGAATTTCAAAGGTGCTTTCCTGCACGGAAGGTAAAAGCCAGAGACCCCAACGCTTTTCAGCCACGCAGCCGGGCACATAAATCACTCAGCTATGTTACACAAGCCCTCGCTTCTTGCTCTGCTGCTACCTATTCTGGGCTATCAGCCAGCGAGAATATATTCAGATGGGGAAAAAAAAAAAAAAAAAAAAAAAAAAAAGAAAAAAGCAAAAAGCCTCCCTCCCAACAACATGACTCTGCAGAAGGCACATCGCGGCAGAGCCCCGAGCCGTGCCGCATCGGTTTTGGTGCAGTCTCTCGCTTCCTGGAAACACACAGCACATTTCTCTTTCACCCGCTAAATCATTTACGGCTCAGGATTTGTACAAAACACTTTTTTTTAAAATTTATATATTTATTTATTCCCCCCCCCTCCCCGAAGCAGCAATTCCAGAGCAGGCAGAAGCAGGCGAGCCCGCAGGAGCTGACAAGGATCCTGCAGCGGCCAGGCTCATTACGGCACGACAAATTAAAACAAAAAGCGGGGCTGCCCTGGCAGGCAGCACAGGCTTACAGGATGCGTTTTATTTTTTCCCCCTCCCTTAAGGCACGATTTAGCGAAGCGCTTAGCTGGCTCTAAGGAAACCTGCCGCCCCATAATCTTCATGACGCAGCCCTGTATTAGCAAACCAGACACAGCAGGATCCGGCCTCCCCAGGTGCATGGGGGGTCACCCGTGTTCTGCATCCCCCTCCCCGTGCCGAGCCGAGCGGGACGGGGCGGCAGGAGAGGCAGGGCATGCAGCGGCTCCCCTGCCTCACCAGGGATGAGCTGCGTGCCGACAGCTCGGATCCCAATTTCTCCCTCTGCATCAAGCCAGACCTCAGGGAACCCACGGACAACCCTGCTGCCAGCACGTGCCATGAGTCCCATCCTGCCCTCCCTTTTCCTCCCATCTCCAGCATCTTTCCGTCACTCATCTGGGTAACTAAAGCCAGTGGGACCCACACTACCATGACAGCACCAGGTTTGTTTTTTGTTTGTTTCCATTTATTTTATTTTTTTTTTTAAACCCTCTCTCAAGCAAAGCAGCACTGGCACTTTTGAACATCTCCAGATCTTCAGCTGCACATGCATTTCCAAGCATAAGGACAGCAGCAAGTCCCGGTGGGGGAAGGCTAAGCAGTGTTGAGCATCTGCTATTTATTCAGATTGGTGTTTCTGGTCCCTAAAAACCTCCAGCTGCCAGGGTTCCATGGCTGGCACCACTCAGATCTCTGAAAGAGAAGGCCAGGAGCAGGAGGAAATCCTCAAGAAAAAGGGGTGTCTGCTGGCTTGGTCCCTCATCCTCAGGACTGACCAAGCAGCAGGCAAAACCAGACCTTTCTGGCCGATGCGCCCAGTCCCAATGGCAACAGCAACAGAAGAATGAAGTGAGCGCTGCTTCGCCGACAGATTTCAGTTCAGTACTCCAATACCAAAGAGAGCGTATAGGGTAATAAAAAAAACCACCCCCAAAAAAAGGAATCGGTGCAAGACAATGCTAAGAGCAGGTGTGGTTTCAAGCAGTTTCGGTGCTGCTCTCCATGCCCAACGCGGGAGCAGCTCTCGACACTGAAGCCAAAAGGGTAAATCGGGACAGGGCAGTCAGGATCCCAAAGAGCATCCCCAGCTCAGCATCGACACCCCACACCGCACGGGCAAAGGTGCTTCCCAGCCGCCTCCTATCCCACCACGTGGAGGTTTCATGGTACGAGAAAAGCGAATCAGGCTGGGGAACGCTCTCATTTTCACCTCCTCACGTTGGGAAAATGGCTGAGACAAGAGGACCTTCGCACTCGACCGCAAACAAACCCTTGAGCCAGCAGCGCCCCACGGCTGACGTGGGCCTAAGCCACCTCGGCACCATCCAGCTTGATGATCTGAGGGCTGGAGCACCTCTCCTATGAGGACAGGCTGAGGGAGTTGGGCTTGTTCAGCCTGGAGAAGAGAAGGCTGCGGGGAGACCTGATTGCGGCCTTTCAGTACCTAAAGGGGGCCTATAGGAAAGATGGGGAAAATCTTTTTAGTAGGGCCAGCTGTGACAAGACAAGGGGTGATGGTTTTAAACTAAACCAGGGTAGGTTTAGTCTAGAAATAAGAAGAAATTCTTTACAATGAGGGTGGTGAAACACTGGCAGGGGGTGCCCAGAGAGGGGGTGGAGGCCCCATCCCTGGAAACATTCAAGGCCAGGTTTGACGGGGCTGGGAGCAACCTGATCTGGTTAAAGGTGTCCCTGCTCCCTGCAGGGGGGTTGGACTAGATGACCTCTAGGTGTCCCTTCCAACCCCAAACATTCTATGATTCTATGCCATCTCCACGATCACATCTATGCCATGCCTCCATCACCCTCTTCAATCCCTGCGTGTCGCAGGAGAGACCTGATGGGCAATTTGCACAGCAAATAGCTTTTAGGAGGCCAAAAGCCTCCCAGGCACGTGCCTGGGGACACGGCAGGGAATACAGCGGCTCGTTCAGGACCCAGACCCACTCGGTGAGTCAACACGCCAGCAGAAAGCTGCTGGATCAACAGGCATTTGTGTCCTGAGACAGGGTGACACCTCGAGATAGTCAACGCCTCGGGTTGTGTACAGCGATGCCCCACCACCAGCCCTGCAGGGAGGCAGTGATAAACCTAAAAAAAAAAAAATCAAAAAAAAAAAGACAAAAGGCAGCTAAACACAGGGCACTCGACCTCAGCAGAGAGGAGCAGGAGCAGAGAGCTGTCAGCGAGGACTGACAGCGCTAAACTGATACTCTGGGAACCATTTCTGAGCAAAACCAGCAGAATTTGGTAGAAATGGCAGCTGGCTCCATGGCGATGCCTTGGCACAGGTTGGGGATGGGCTTCATGGCCCACTGCCCTTCCAGAAGGTCAGCTACACCCTCCGCCAACCAGCACCGGGAAGCCACTTGCGACATGAAAGGGGAAAAAAAAAAAAAATTCTAAAACAAACCCAGAAAGACAAATAAACTGGTCTGGAAGTTTTACGGTAACTTCACAGACAGGAGGAGCACATCTCCTGCCCCACTCGCTGTAAAAAGGATCCAGTTACTCACTCCAAAAAAGGCTGTCCGTGAGGAGAGTATCAAAGAGCAAAGCAAGTTTCTGCTTCTTGCAAGGCTACTTCAGCTGGTTTGGGGGTTGTGAAACCGAGAGTCCGGGGCTCACCCTGCTCAGCAGCCCCTTTACTACGTCTCAAGAGTGAAACGCAGGCAGCCGAGCATGCCAAAACAGCAGCACCAGCACATCTGGTCCCCATGGAGGAAAACCCGGCAGCTATTCCTTCAGCCAATGCTGATCAGAGCTCGCAAGCATCCCCGGCGCCCAAGGTTTTGCTCCAAGCGGATGAAATCCCCCAGGCTCCCGAAAGCCCCAAGTCAAAGCAAGGCGATGTTGTGCCGGTTGGAGGCGAGGGCATTAGGGGAGATGGTGGAAAC